TACGTTTTAGTTTCTAAGACTTTCAATTTTGTCATCTTTTTATGTACTGATGATGGTCAAATCTTGAACGAAACGTTTACTTATTTATTTGGAATTTTAAATACATGACTTGTTTACATCTATTGTTGTGGCTGTATGTGCTTCTTATTATTTATCTTTTGTAATTGTTTTAGCCACTTTCAAATAATTTTAAAAAATAATTTGATTAGTAAAATTCGGTTTTAGGTTTTTGGTGTTTCTGAATTTGAATGTAGCCTAAAAATATTGAATTTCAAAAGAATAGTAATCTTTATGAAGGATCCAATGTCACAGAATTCATAATTAGAGTTTGAAAGTTAGTTTGAAATCAGTACTAAATGCTTATGTAGGTTCAAATAAAACGAAATTGAAAATTTAATGTTATTTTTAATTAAAAATTTCTTAAAACCGAGTTTTATGTTAAACTTTTTTTTAAATTATAGCCGTCATATTAAATCCAACATTTTGAATTTTGTATTTTTTACCTCAAATTCGAATAAAGTAGTTTATAAAATGAAAGATGTGATTCCAGAGTTTCCGGTCCACAAAGGGTTATGAAAGAAATGCATACTTACAAATCACCGTTAGATTGGCTGTTTGATAAGTAGTGGCGAAAGACGGCGCCTCGGTGGAGACTTCGCATTTGTATTGACCGGAGCTCTCCAGGGCGAGGTTCTTCAATCTTAACCATCGCTGCTCGCTATTCGCTTTCGTCTGTGGACAGAAAGAATAGCGAGGTATTTGCTTTGCTAATGGAGGAGTTTTGTTTCGGGACGTGATGTTGTCGTGTAACGACGGATCTGAACTCGGATCCCGAAGTTAGGGCTTTACCTACGCAATTGTGTACGTGTACTTTGCGTCCGCCCGATATTACACCCGAGACAATCAACGTTTGATTGTATTGGGCGAAGTAATGGAATTTCCGAAGATAACGCGGAATCCAATTTTTCGAATCTCGAGAATATTACAGTAGTCACTGAAACATACGCATCTTCAAAAGTTCAATGTAAAGTTTGTACACTGTTAAATTCATAAATTATATATCTAATTAGAGCTATTTAATTTATTTCAGCCACTAACTAAGATAAAAAATTATATAGAACTTTCAAGTTTAACAAATTTAAGAAACGTACGAGAGAGAGAGAGAGAGAGAGAGAGAGAGAGAGGGATATGGAAGTTAGCGCAATACGCAAAATTGTTATTTAAAAATACTTTTGCTCATCTTAGATTCAGAAGCACAACATGTATTCGTACGTGTTTGTACTAACTTTTGAGTTATCTACAGAACAAAAAAAAAGTACAAATTATGGTTACATATGAGTTATGACGTAAAAAGATCAGGTGTAATATTGCGCATAATAGTTGAATAATTTGAGACAAATTTTTTATTAGTGGCAAATTCCTAATAGCGGTTTTATATTGGCTTCAAAATCTTAACTCCTGCCTAATCAAATTCATGTCCGCAATACATCTTAATCTGTTATTACCTGGTCGGTTATTACCGAAGGGATAGAGGTTTTCCTCCCAATATGATTACGTATTCTGATATTCGTGTTCTTAACTGCCGATCAGTTTGACCTACATAAGATGCATTACAGTCTTTATATGAAATTTTGTAGACGACATTTCTCTGTGAAATGTTTGATAGTAGATCCTTCTGGACTTTAATCAAACGGCAGAGTTTATTTATGCTATAAAAGGAAATTTTTGGGTGAATATTATTAATAATTCTTTTACATTTATTCCAAATTGTATTTACGAAAAAAATTGTAAATATTATTTTATTTAGAAATTTATTATTATCTGAGACCGATTTATCATTAATTTTAATGGTACTGTTTTTTCTATAGGGATTTTAATCTTTAAAATATGGTATTGAAATTAAAGTTCAATAGATAATCATTATTTAATAAAATTTTAATACTTCAAAAATTTTTTTATAAAACTCCGGATTTGAGAGAAAAAAGATCCTATTATTTATGTTCATAGCCAATCTCCTTTTTGCAAAAATGGATGCCGACACAAATAATTCAGATATCTCCCCATAAAAATTGATTTTTGATAACAATCAAGTTTTGGATTAAGTTAATAGTTTTTGGAAAATTCTGTTATATTTTTTCACCTCCATTGTGAATTATAATCTTAGGTGTACAGAGTTAAATAATAAAAAAAATATATATGTATATGTTGAAGCAACGAGAATCACCCCAATAATATTATCCACATATAATGTAAAACAGCAGGGAGACCTCTAATAAGTCTCTTTGTAAATCCTGCGTAACTATCAGTGACAACAAGCGATAAAGAGGAGGATCTCATTTACCCATAAATTTATCTTTAGAAATATTAATAGTTCAGAAATAAAATTCATATCTATTAGAATATTAGAATATTAGATACATTTTTTATAGCCAAATTTATTGGGATGTCAGTAAAGAGTGAAATCATATCTAAAGAAATCAAATGAATCGAAGTGCTTACACTTTTCCATTTCTCAAAACCTGCGGGCGTACGGTTAACATGACTGCCTGCGACCATTGTTCAAATAGTAATGCATTTTGCAGCTGGTTGTTGACAGAGTTAATTAGACTACCGCGTGTCTCTATCTGTCACGTAAGCCAGTGCTCGAAGAGTCGTGTACCTGCAATCGGAATGGTGGCCAGCGTGGCGTTGTCTTCGCGGACAATGTGCAACGACCGTTCTCCACGTGCAACTTCATTGATAGTCATAGTGGGGTGGAAGGCGTGGGAACGTTTGCGGCTTATCGATAATTCATGGCCCGTTACCGGAGCCCGAGACACGGTCTCGGTTGCTCTCGTATTAGGTTCGATTAGGTACATCCGTAGTCCAATTAGCTCTCCGCGATATGCGACTAGACGGGCGCGACGACGCAGGTAGCCCCCTTTCCTGTCCCGTCATTCAACGTCTAGGAAATCGAGCGTTCGTATCGATCGTCGAATGCTAACTCGATCAATACCGGAAATGTCGTGCACTACGATATGCCAATACTCGTTGCCGATGATAC